CCCTATGACAAAAAAAACTACTTACACATTTTCAGTAGGTCGAATTTCCGCTTATCCAAACACTGCCTCATGTTAACCAGCATGAGTTGTTCGCGACCCTAAATCCGTGTCAACCCTGTACACCTTTGTTTTCCAGTGCCTGAACGTGATTTTTCTCTTCTCACCTAGGTCGCATACTCCTTTGAGGATGAGTATCTTGACCAGACTTATATTGATGGCCTGCGAAGGCATCATCTCTCGCAGCTACTGGTGGAAATAAGCTCTACACAGTGTCTTGCTCCCGTGAAGCCTTTGCCTAAACAGGTAAGCTTGCAGCACGCATATTCCTTTTTCACCCGCCGGCTCATATGTGCAATTTGGGTCCCATTCTGTTTCTGATATATTTGAACGACTGCCTTAATTGCCTCTCCGGTGAGAAAGTAATGTTTGCAGACGATCTGGCGATTTGGATTTCAATCGAAAGCTCAAAAAATGGGCAGGGCTTACAAAATAACTTGGATCGCTTGTGAAAGTGGTGTGATAAGTGGCTTCTGCACCTCAATTTCGGTCTAGTTGCAGAAAGTTGATACCATTTGAGTATGAGTACTTCATCGTAGGTCACTTACTCGAGCAAGTGAAGGGAATAAGAGATCTAGATGTGTATATGACGCCCACCCTCAAAACACCAACTCACTGCTCCAAAACTGCAAAGAGAGCTATGGGCATCCTAGGACCGATCAGAAGATCCTTCCTCTGTTTTGATGCGTAGCTTTTTGGGCGAGTGTTTCTAACATGTATCCGGCCGCTATTCGAATATTGAGTTCAGTTGTGGTGCCCTTGGATGAAGAAGGATTACGCAGCGCTGGAGAAAGTTCAACGAAGGGCGTCCAAATTAGTCAGCGGCTTGGAAGGCCTACCATATGAGGGTCGACTAGAAAGGCTCAAACTTTTCCCTTTCTATTATAGGCAATACAGAGGAGATATGCTCATGGTCTTTAAACTCGTCAGAGGAGTAGACAGTGCTCCTCGGATGACTGATTTTTTGAAATTTAAAAAAACGACACATCTCTGAGGTCATCTATACAACCTGAAGAAACATCATACAAAATTAGGAGTATGGGCCAATAACTTTTGTCAGCGGGTCATTTAAGACTGGAACAAACTTTTTTCTGCGGATGTTCTTGCTAAAAGCATTGACGCATTTAAAAGAAGACTTGGTGCAACTTTTCTTGATGGTCATACATTTGGTAGGCACCAAAGATTAATATAATGTGCATATATGGTTCTGAAACATATGTATGATTTGCCAGAATCTATCTGTAAATCGGGTTTTAAAAGGCTCCGTCTATCACCCTTATATATATATATATATAATAATAATATAATATAGATAATAATCAAGGAAATAATCGCGGAAATTATTAGGTGCATGACAT